TTAGTTTGGGTACAATGTTGTATGACCGCGCAATTGTCATTCAATTGTCATTCAAAGTGTGAGAGCGCTGAAATCTGATAAATGGCCTGGGCAGGAAGGGGGTAAAAGTTCCCGGTATTGAAGCAGTTAGAAATTAGCCTGTCTATGTTATGCCCCTTGTTACCATAAAAGTACAATTGTAATATTAATGTGATACCTATGTAATCATGTGTATAAAAAAAACTTCAAATGTGTTGAATAAACAGAACAGTGATTTGGAAAGATGATGAGTGTATCTTTTTGTGTCTGTTCGCTACTGCAGTCGTTTTTATTAATTTGGAACAACTAATCAATATGAGGATATTGCCTATTTATAAAACTTTCAGTATTAATGTCCAGAACAACAATATGATGTCCACTGACTTCAGCCATGCGACATAATGCTGTATTTCCACTAGGGGACAGCAGATGACCTCCTTAGCTGAAGGCATGCTGGTGACATGAAGGGAGCACAGAGCTCTAGAGTAGACTGTAAACTGGTGCAAGGACCCTGGACTGCCCCATTTAGCTGTGGAAATGCTCAAAATCCAGTAACTTTGTCAAGTTATAGAAGTTTGGGCTGGTAAAGGAAGAGATGTATAATTTCTTTCCAGATGGCCTGTGTTTTTGAACTCTGCTGTGTTGCAGATCTCCAGCTGCCTGTTTCTGACACTTCTGGGGATGTCGAATATTTAACCCACTTTACCTGCTCTCAGCTCTGCTTCCCCAAGCTGCTGGTAAAATAACATCCCCTGGTGTTTCAACTCATAAACATCCAAAAAGCAGTGCTGGTTGTTTTTTAGATGTTTGTGTCGAATATTGTCTCCCCCACCACATGCTGAAATTCCAGCTTCTATGTCCTCAGTTTAAGTGCACTTACTCACTGGTAGCTTTAAGCCGGGTTCACATACATGCGGTGCAGTATATTGCATGTGATTCACACAGGAACTGCACCGCATTACTGTGCAAATCCCATGCGAATTGTGTCCGGTGCGATTGGAGCCATACATTTTGTATGGCTCTATTCGCACTGCATCTGCACCAAGAAGGTGCAGGACCCTTTTTTTGCTCCGCACTAGAATTGGATCGCATGGGTATTCACACCTATGCGATCCAATTCTGCACATCGCACCACGTTTTGCGGACTGATTTCGGGGTGTTGTTAACATAACATACACATCCGCAGCGGTGCGCATGAACGGGGTGCGATTGTGATGCTGTGCGGAATTCGCACAGAAAACGCTGCAAATTCCTCACCTCATCAGTGTGAACCCAGGCTAAAGGTAAAACAAGTACGCATACAGTTGTGCTCAAAAGTTTGCATACCCTGGCAGAAATCATGAACTTGGCATTGATATTGAAAATATGACTGATCGTGTCAAAAAACTGTCTTTTATTTTAGGATAATGATCATATGAAACCATTTATTATCACATAGTTGTTTGGCTCCTTATAACAGAGATCACCCAAATGGCCCTGATTTCCATTCCCTGTCATGTTTGGCCTTGGTACAGACACAAAGGTTACACACATGGGTTAAAATAACAAGTAAAGGTTCATTTCCCATATCTGTGGTTTTTAAAATTGCTATTAGTGTCTGTGTATAAATAGTGAATGAGTTTGTTACCTCTCATGTAGGTGCAGTGAGCAAATGGGGAGCAGAAAAGAACTGTCAAAAGACCTGCATAACAAGTTAATGGAACTTTATAAAGATAGAAAAAGATATCCAAAGCCTTGAATATGCCAGTCAGTACTGTTCAGTCCCTTATTAACCACTTCTCCTCCACTCAATAGCAGAAATACTGCTACAAGGTGGCAGGGGTGCGCAAAATCATGTATATATACGTGCATTTCCGGGTAGGGGGTGTGCGCCCTACCAGCGCTGCTGTTCCCGGCCTCGGCTGTCAATCACTGGGTCCCGGCTGGTGATTACTTGCAAGCACCCGGTGATCGCCGAGTATTACCGACGGGGGGAGCATTACAGTTCTCTCCCCTGTCAGCTTCAGCACACTGCTTTGTATGGCTCTGCATGACAGTGCCATACAAAGCAGTGTGCTTACAGTTGAAAGCACATAAACAGCTTACTGTGAAACAGCCGAAGAGTTTAAAAGGATACGCCAAGGGCCTCTATAGCCAGTACAAAAAATTGATAGATGCAAAATTACCTGCACTCACATCAAACACCAAATTGTTGCTGACTCCACCCAAATTAAGAAAAACTAGGTGTGGTTACCAAAACTCATAAATCATGCAGCAATTCTACAATCCTACATTCTTCCCTGAAGAAGCCCAAGCGCATTGGGCGAAACATGTAGGATTGCATGCTCTCACCTACGTTTCGTATGTGACGTCACCACGCACAATGGCTGTCTCAACTCGACTTCCATTCCATTCATGGGCTAACAAGCTACTCTAGCCTGGACTATCCATATCGCCAGCATTGTGAACACTGTACAGGCGAGACTGTGATGCCACCTGGCCAGCGGCGATGTTGCTGCCATACTGTGAAGGACTGCTGATGCGGATGGTAAAAACATGTCACTAAAGGAAGGGTGTAATGACTTGCTTATATTGGTGGTGCTCCAGCCCTCTAATGCAATACTTGAGAGGTCAATGAGGTGATTCGATTGTGGCAATTGTGTGTTATTAATATTTCACTAACATCTTATCTCTGGATTGTTGTTGATTCTGTTGAACTTCCTGCCACATAACTATGTTAGCGGACCATCTACTTAGACACCATCTGTCCATCTGTGACCATGTTACCTCATATGCCCCTGAATTGTGATGTGTTCCACATCATCCATCTGTCAGCAACTTAGATATCCAGGAACGGCATAAGTGATATCCTTCACTGTAATCACCTTGGACATTATCCATCTATTACCGTATTATCCTCCGAGGCCTCCTATAGCTTTATGTAACACTATCATACAATTTACCACCCCCCATCTATGAATGTGGCCGAGTGAGCAGCTGCTTGGGTGACAATTCATTTAGTGTGGTGGCGGTTAGTGGTTTTAGCTCAATTTGTATATAATTTCTTCATATATATTTTTCAATAAAGCCATTTTTGATTAAGCTGCATGGTCCCATTGCAAACTTCCTTCCAGGTGTATCCCTTCACCCTTGATTGCTGCATTATGCCCCGTATACGCGAAAAGAAAATCGTCGGAAAAATTTTGCGGAACCACTGATCGAACGATTTTCTCTTCGTTGGTGAGCAGGATGTTTTAACCGATAACGATATTGTGAACTAAAAAATCCGGTTGAACAACAGTGAAAAATGTTGTTGTTTCACATATGAACGACCGATTTTCTATGCGGTGGTATGACGGTCATATGAAAAAAAAATCTATCAAGCGCTATCACACATGAGCGGAAACAGAAGATGACCCGGATGGTTATATCCAAGGAATCCAAGGAGATTCCAAGGCGATGGTTATATCCAAAGAGATAATGAAAGCAGAATTCTGCATATTATATTTTATGTATCACTATTTATGTATATAGATAATGTAATAAACGATATTATACTCATTGCTGGTAATTGTTGTGTTTTATCGCTCGTTCTGGCCGGAAGGGTGTGGCTACAAGGTCACACGGACACTGCATCACTTCCACTTGTATGGAAGACGTCAACACTACGTATTGCCTGATGAACGATTTTTTTTCGATTGGTCAATGTGGGCCACGATTTCAACCAACGAATGAACACCTCTCGGTCTTCAGATGATCAATCGGTCGATTTTCTAATCGTGTATTCCCACCTTTACTGTGAAGAAACCTTTCCATGTTTGGAGATTAAATTTCTTTTCCTCCAGACATAGAGTGCCCCCTTGTCCTCTGTGATGACCTCAGGGTGAATAGCTCTACACCGAGTTCACTATATGAACCACTGATGTATTTATACATGTTGATCATATCCCCCCTTAATCTCCTCTTCTCAAGAGAGAATAAATTCAGTTCCTCTAATCTTTCCTCATAGCTGATCTCCTCCATGCCTCTTATCAGTTTGGTTTCCCTTCTCTGTACTTTCTCCAGTTCCCCAATGTTCTTTTTGTGAATTGGTGCCCAAAACTGAACTGCATATTCCAGATGAGGTCTTACTAATGATTTGTACCGGGGTAATATGATATCTCTCTCTGGAGTCTATACCTCTTATAATACAAGAGAGGATTTTGCTCGCTTTACAAACTGCAGCTTGGCATTGCATGCCATTATTAAGCTTGTGATCTACCAGAACCCCCAGATCCTTCTCCACCATTGATTCCTCCAGTTGTACCCCCCCTAGTAAGTATGATGCATGCATATTCTTAGCCCCCAAGTGCAGAACCTTACATTTATCAACATTAAACCTCATTTGCCACATAGTTGCCCAATTACACAGAGCATTGAGGTCGGCTTGTAAGTTGGAGACACCCTGTAAGGACGTTATTCCACTACACAGCTTGGTGTCATCTGCAAAAACTGAAATGGGATTTATAATCCCAGACCCTGTATTGTTTATAAAAAGTAAGGGTCCAAACACTGAACCTTGGGGTACACCACTGACAACCCTAGACCATTCAGATAATCAATCATTCACCACTACTCTCTGTATATGATATATACAAAGAGGCTTTTTTCATATCTGTGTGTTTCCGAACACATGGCGATCTGCACAGAAAATGTATGCTTTGCCATGCGTTTCAGAAACACACAGCAAATGTACATTGTGTTTGTGTTGTCATAACATGTTAAAGGCACTCCAAATGTGGCAAACGCACCAAAAACTTCAAAGTTCTGTAGTTTTTCGGGGACAATTGATGTGTGTGTATATCAGCCCATTCAAATGAATGGGCTGCCTTATGCGTTACGAGTGAGAACGCTCCAAAACACCCAAAACAAACGCATGCAAGAATGTGAGTCTTCACTACATGGAGATGTGAATGGGGCCTGACAACTGAGTGTCTCTGTCCACTCCCTCCTATTTACCATCTCCTGTACTGTGTCCGCAGTCTCTGGTCATCCCCTGTACTGTGTCCGCAGTCTCTGGTCATCTCCTGTACTATGTCTGCAGTCTCTGGTCATCTCCTGTACTGTGTCCGCAGTCTCTGGTCATCTCCTGTACTATGTCCGCAGTCTCTGGTCATCTCCTGTACTATGTCCGCAGTCTCTGGTCATCTCCTGTACTATGTCTGCAGTCTCTGGTCATGCCCTGTACTATGTCTGCAGTCTCTGGTCATCTCCTGTAGTATGTCTGCAGTCTCTGGTCATCTCCTGTAGTATGTCTGCAGTCTCTGGTCATCTCCTGTAGTATGTCTGCAGTCTCTGGTCATCTCCTGTACTATGTCTGCAGTCTCCAACCATCTCCTGTACTACGCCTGCAGTCTCTGACCATCTCCTGTACTACGCCTGCAGTCTCTGACCAACTCCTGTATTACACCTGCAGTCTCTGACCAACTCCTGTACTACGCTTGCAGTCTCTGACCAACTCCTGCAGTCTCTGACCAACTCCTGTACTATGCTTGCAGTCTCTGACCAACTCCTGCACACTCCTGCAGTCTCTGACCAACTCCTGCACTATGCTTGCAGTCTCTGACCAACTCCTGCACACTCCTGCAGTCTCTGACCAACTCCTGCACTACGCCTGCAGTCTCTGACCCTCTTCTATACTACTCCTGCAGTCTCTGACCAACTCCTCTACTATGCCTGCAGTCTCTGACCAACTCCTCTGCTACTCCTGCAGTCTCTGACCAACTCCTGCACTACGCCTGCAGTCTCTAAACCCTCCTTTGTACTAACTGCAGTAACCTCTATCAACCAATCAGTGAGTGTGGACCAGTTCTTAATGTTTACATTATTAAAGTTTTTTTTACATAAGTCTATGTGTGTGTTTTATCTAGTTTTTTTATGTTGGGGTGGAGAGCAAAATTGCATGGGGGAGCCCAAGAAAATCTCAGACTATTTAACCTCCACGACCAATATTTAGCATAATCCAAACCACACCCATTTTTTGGCGCAGCACGCAAAGCCATCTTTTTTATAGCTGAGCCACGCCCACACAGGAATGCCCCACCCCTAACTATCATGCCGCTCTGCCTATGCTGTCTTTCTGGACATGTTTTCAGGCCTGAATACGACTGTTCTGTGGTGTTGGCATCACACTTTTTTTCCACTTACCCTCTTTATCTCATCCTTTACTTCTGTAACACAAAATGTTTTGATTTTTGGCTCAGCTCCACCCCCTGCTCTGTGATCACATGATTGAATTGTCTTTGTGCCTGTGAGAGAGATGAGCGCTGCTGCTCCTGGGCACAGTGCTGGATCGAGATAGGTAAAAGGAGGAGCTGATTATGGAAGGTTAAATAAAAACAAATATAATTTCTTCTATACATGTACTTTTCCCTGTGTTTTATTGCCTAAAAATTAGTGATGCACCGATATATTGGCGGCCGAAACATATTGGCTGAATATAGTGCATTTGGCATTTTGCCAATGGGAAAAAGGTGCCAATAATGGTGCTAATACATGCAAAGTCGCATCTCATAGACTTTCATCCAAAAATGCCCTCTAGTGACTTCAATGCAAAATTGAGTCTTATAGACTTTCATGCAAAGTCACGTCTCATAGACTTCCATGCAAAGTTGCGTCTCATAGATTTTCAGGCAAAGTCGTGTCTCATAGACTTCCATGCAAAGTTGCGTCTCATAGTCTTTCACGAAAAGTCACATCTCATAGTCTTTCACGCAAAGTTGTGTCTCATAGGCTTTCAGGCAAAGTCGCGTCTCATAGACTTTCAGGCAAAGTCGCATCTCATAGACTTTCAGGCAAAGTCGTGTCTCATAGACTTTCAGGCAAAGTCGCGTCTCATAGACTTTCAGGCAAAGTCGTGTCTCATAGACTTTCAGGCAAAGTCGCGTCTCATAGACTTTCAGGCACAAACGCCCTCTAGTGACTTCAATGCAAAATCTCATCTCATAGACTTTCATGCAAAAACGCCCTCTATTGACTTCAAAGCAAAATTGCGTCTCATAGACTTTCATGCAACAATGCCCTTTAGTGACTTCAATGCAAAATCGCTTTTTAAAGACTTTCATGCAAAGTCACGTCTCATAGACTTTCATGCAAAAATACCCTCTAGTGACTTTAATGGAAGATCGCATCTTACAGACTTTCATGCAAAGTCACGTCTCATAGACTTTCATGCAAAAACACCCTCTAGTGATATCAAAGCAAAATTGTGTCTCATAGACTTTCATGCAAAATCAAGTCCTAAGTTCTAACTGTGCCTGTGGGAGAGATCTGCTAGTACATCGAACACTCTCCTCCCCTTCCCAAGACCGACAATGCTGCTGCCTACTGTGCCTCCTGCGCTCATTCATCCAGAGTTGTGTCTCAGTAATACAAGAGGTGTGTTACTGGCCAGATCCCCAGGTGAAAGCAGAAGGGAAAGAGCCAAAGAAAACAAACTGATGCAGCCACCACATCTAATGATTGGTAAGCTGCAGATGTTACATTTTTGGTTTGGGGTTCAGGCTAGGTTCACACCTATGTAGGTTATACTTGATGCATTTTCCAGTGCATTTTTTTGCATGGTTTGTGTTTTTTTTTCACGTGTTTTTGATGGGTTTTTGGGATGTGTTAAAATAGAACTATCGGCAAAACGTTTTTTTTTTTTTTTCATTTTGGATAGAGTAAGGGAGGGTTATAACCCCTGACAGATTTTTTTTTTCACCATCTGTGTCTCAAACAGGAAGTGAGAGAAAATACCCGCTAAATAAGCGAATTCCTTGGGGATCCCCAGGTCACCAGAATTAGTGTCCCTATTGGAATATTACCCCTCTATAACTTTTCTGGGGACAACCCAGAATTTGGGATTTTTCTTTTACATTCACTTTCAATAATATTGGTAAACAGGACAAATAGAGCAGGTGAATCTCCCTAACAGGGGCAAAGATAGCAGTAAAAACTGACAGGGGTTCTAATCCCTCTCTACTCTATCCAAAACTAAAAAACGTTTTGGCTTTAGTTATACTTTAATGTTGCTAGGTGTCTGTGGTCATGCTTTTCCGTTGAAGTCTATGGAACTGAAAACACAACCTGCTGACGGCAAAAAAGTCCCTGATCCTTTGCAAAAAATGTAGCCACTGAAACTGCATAGATCTAGCCTAAAGGATCAGTCCACCCAATATTAACACTGTATTTTAACCTCCTCGGCGGTCTGATTCTTTCCGATTTTTTGTGCTGCTGAAAGCGGTACCATTTTTTTGCATGGAAATATGTCGTTTTTTATTGTAGGCTGTAATTTTTAGGAATAACTCACTGAAATCTGTCCGAAACAAGTCTAGTAAACATCCCGGGTAGGATAAAATTTGAAACACGAAATCAAAAATTATAATTTAATAAATAATCATAAAAAAATAATAATATATAATAATAATAAATTTAATTCAATAATAGAATCAAACCAAAAAACACTGAAATTTGAAATACAGAGGCAAATTCGCACATCGCTGAGCAAAGTCGCAAAATCATTTTCAGTGTCTGATGATGAATTTCCCCCACAAATCATTATCACTCAATTCTGCAAGTGGTTCTGATTTACTATCGCTGTTCTCTAGCTGCTCTAAAACCGCTTTTGACGTAAAGGGACGCTTTTTTGGACACCATGGACTTTTCTAAGTTTCCAGGCAGAAAGAACATTCAAAATGCAGGCAGGGGACAGGACAAAGCAGTAGGGACAAAATATATGTGAAATGCATTAAAACAGCAATGACAGCAAAAATAAAATTTTTTAAAAATTTCAAATTTCCCGCCGGTTCCGGCGCCCGTACGTCCCGACGTCACAGGGACCGGAACACAGAAGCCGGATGCCGGCATCGGCCGGAGGAGATGGCCGGGGACGCTGCAGGGGACACATCGCGGGAGCGAAGGACAAGCTGCAGGGACCCCCAGAGCAACGCCGCATGGTAAGCCTGAGTGTAGCTCGGGGTTACCGCTCTTGGTATAGAAATTTTACCCCGAGCTACACTCGGGAAAACCGCTAAGGAGGTTAATATTAAAGAGATCCTGATGGGCTAGGTGAGCTCATTGGGGTGATTTTACTAAAACTGTAGAGTGCAAAATCTTTTGCAGCTGTGCAGGGCAGCCAATCAGAGTCTAACTTCAGCTTGTTCAAATAAGCTTTGACCAAAAAACCTGGAAGCTGATTGGTTTCTATGCAGAGCAGCACCAGATTTTGCACTTTCACATTTTAGTAAATCAACCCCATTGCATTTTATTTTTTTGGATGCTGCAAGAGCAGGATCGGCCTGCTGTAATCTTCAAGTATATTGCTGTCAGGTGGGAGTTTTAGGCTTCCGCATACCTGTGCTAGTACCTGCTCCTTTTACTCCACCTGCAAAAAACCCCCAATAACCTACCTATCTATCTTTCTCAGAGAATAGGTACAGGTACCCCCCCTTCTGTGTCCCCCTTGTCTTTGCCCTCTACCCACCTATCTGCACTGTCCCCTGGTTCCACCCCATCAACAATAGAACCCCCCTCCCCCCAGCAGCAAAAGATCCACCCCAGCAACAATAGATCTCCCTGCATCCTGCAACAATACTGGCCCCTCTTGGCAACATTTTACTCTTCAACAACATAGGACTCTACAGTAACAAAAGACCCCTCCTTCAACAATAGATCCTTCCCAGTGACAATAGATCCTCCGTAGTCATCATCAATAGACCCCTCCAGAACATCCCAGAACCTCTTGCGAGAGAGTGTTTTTGTTTAAAGCTGAGCACATGCCACTCCACCCTGTAACTAATTGTTGACTTTGCTGACCTATTTACCTACCTAAATCAACATGATGCTCTTGGTCCTGAATTTTATATCCTTTGTACTGCAGAACAAGAGAGTCCTTCTTCAGGTGCCCATGTTCCTGCCTGGCAGATGTGGGCCCTTTTCATTGGCTGTCCATTAGCATGGTCATCCCAGGTCCTGAAGACCTGCAGCAAAATTATGACTTCTCAATGGTGATCTTGGACATCAATGCTGATTTATTGGTCATCACAGTGGAGGGTCACACAACAACAGACATAAGTACAGTGATGGAAATAAGTATTTGATCCCCTGCTGATTTTGAATGTTTGCCCCACTCACAAAGAAATAATCAGTCTAAAAATTGAATGGTAGGTGTACTGTAACACTGAGAGACAGAATAGCAACAAAAAATTCAAAAGAAATGCATATCTAACAAATTTTGCACTGATTGCATGTTCATGAGGGAAATAAGGATTTGATCCCCTTCACAAAACATGGCTTAGTACTTGGTGGCAAATCCCTTGTTGGCAATCATAGAGAGTCATACGTTTCCTGTAGTTGGCCACCAGGTTTGCACACATCTCAGGAGGCATTTTGGCCCACTCCTCTTGGCAGATCCTCTCCAGGTCATTAAGGTTTGGTGGCTGACGTATGGCAACTCGAACTTTCAGCTCCCTCCACAGATTTTTTCAATCAGATTAAGGTCTGGAGACTGGCTAGGCCACTCCAGGACCTTAATGTTCTTCTTCTTGAGCCACTCCTTTGTTGCCTTG